GATTGTTTTCTTTGTTTACTTTGCTGTGACAATCAGGGACATAATTGACCCGCACAGGAGGGGGCGATGTGGCTCCGATGGTGATGAGAGAAATCGTTACACCAGTCAGCTCTGATGCTCTGGTGTTGGTGTTGGAGCAGAGACGGTGGATTGAGGACAGATGTGTTTTAATGACATCATCCAACTGTTGTTGTGGTGGATTTGTTGGAGGGCGAGAGATTTTCTGAACAGACACCTTTGGGGCCGGACACTCCAATAAAATGTAATAAAAGGCACAATTTTGTCTAAAATTATTATCTGACATACAGTTTGGTGGGCCAGATTTGGCCCGCGAGCCGCCAGTGGAGTACCACTGTTTTATAGTGCCCCAAAAGACACCAATTCTTAGCCTCTAATAATAAAAAATATAGTTACTACAGTCTTAGTTTGTAACTCCTGACTATTTTTGTGTCCAAAAATGATGGCATTTTAAAATAATTGTTTTAAAATTTGTCAATATCTTCCAAATGCCAATTATTTTGTGAATATTATTGCAGAGAGTGTAAAACTAATACTTTTTGGGCTGTTAAAAAATAGGGAAACTTTAGTTGGGTCTAATTTAGTTTTGTTATTGTTGACGACTTCTGACCTGTGACTTATTCCCAGCCACACCGTGTCTCTGTCCTGATACTCTGCCGTCTGTCAGCTGCAGCCCAGCCTGTCCTCACGGAGCATCACTGAATCATCCGGCCTGTCGTTGTCATTGTTCTCGTACCTGCGCTGTCATCACTCTGTGTGCCTTCAACAGGAGACAGTCTGACAGCTGGGACGTCTGTTCGCTGCGGTGTTCATCTCTCTGTGTGACAGTGGGCTTAATGTCCCAATTCTCATGGCCATTCAGAAAAAGACATCAGCTCCTCTGCCTTTCTCTGATTTTTGATTTTTATTTTTTTATACGGCCTGAATACTAATTTGATCTTGTAAGAAGTCTTTACTCCACACTGTGACTAAGCCATTAGTCCTGCCGCTCCTCTCGGAGACCCGTGATGTGGATGCAGCATTAGCGTGGCATTATGCAGCTCTATTACAGGATGTTACAGTTAAATTAGGCTGTGCCATGTTCACTTAGAGACGCCGTGGACGGGGGAGTCTGAGCCTGAGGCTCGTGGCCTAATTTCTCTGGAGATGCAGGGCTTCTCCTGCTAAGCTGCAGGGATTAAAATGCACCTAGAGTCTACTGTGGGCTGAGGTGTTTGGGTGGGTGGGGGTTACATTACATCCTACAGCTGAGGCCAAAAGGAGGGTGCAATAAAAAAATAAAATTGCTAAGGGGTTCTGCCCCCCCGAGTCCTGGGATCTTCCCACCCATTACACTACGTCTGATTTAGTGCAACAGTTCCGGGGGTGGGGGTGGGGGTGGGGGTGGGGGGAGGCATTAGCTACAGAGACATCGTTGTTGAACAAGTGAAATCCTCCCTCTCCCAACTGGAGCTGAACACATTCGAGGAAATCTGACTCACAAAGTGTAACCTAAGCAGTTGGACGGAGTGAGAGAAGCAGGAGTTTGCACCGAGGATCAGAGGCTCGTCTGGGCTTTGGTCCTGGATTAACTAAAGAAAAAAGCACGGAGTTATCGCTCAGCGCAGGGAGTGTGATGTGAGAAGTCGTGTGCACAGCATGTTTGTCAGACAACTTTCACTGTGTGGGCTGAGTTCTGTTTTGGCTGCTGTTCACACAGAACCATCATCATCAGCAGAGATGGGAATCTGAACATGGAATTTGATTGGACTGGAATGTGAGGGCTTTAATTCAAATGCGATGGTTTTTAAAATCACTAAACTCAGACTCACATGTCACAGTCAGAGACGACTTGAATCTGGAATCTGGAGAAAAACGTGTCGAAATTCAGGAGAGCTGCGTTTCCTGCTCTGCTGGCCGTGTCTGTAGTTAGTCCTTATAAGCAGTGTTTACCTCTGGAGACTGTTCTTAACAAACCAGTGTGGGGGAGCAGATGTGGACACAGATGGCAGAGGCAGATGCTGCTGTGTTTTCTTTCTTTTTCTTTGTTTTTTTTTTTAAATCACATTATTGTTGTTTTTCTGTGCAATAATTCATAACGATTCTCTGCCTCTGAAATGGAGATGAGCTGAAGAAGGAGACTTCCATTCATGTGGAAACAACAGGAGGTGGAGGCAGGAGGTGAGGGAGGACTGGAGGAGGCAGGGGGTGAGGGAGGACTGGAGGAAGCAGTTCCAGGTGAGGACTCAGGGGAAACACTCACCACTAACAACAAGGTCAAATTGAAAGTTTACATTATGACAGCAAAAATATTTCTACTCAGGGTCAGTACCAGTACTGATCGATATTGGTGACTCACTGGTACTTTCTGCTGACTCAGGCTGTTCCAAAGACTTGGAACACGTCCCTGGTGTGAGGCCAGTCTGGGCCTCAATGACGCGGCGTTAAAGTCTGAGCCTCCTTTCACTTCTACTGTACTCTACACTGGGCTTTGAACCCATATTACCCTGGCTGGACGTCAGCGATATAACCAGGACCGGACCAGGACCAGGACACTGTGCCAGCCCAGCTGTTACACTTCCTGTCCAGACAGGATGACTGTGTCGATGGTTTGTTGAAGCTGTGAGTGTGTGAAGACCATTGGTAAAATGGACTGACTCGTTGTTTGTTTGTTGTTTTTAGTCCTGTAACTAGTAACTAGTCCTGCACAGTAAGAACCAGGCCGTGGACCAACCCTGGAGTCCTGACAACTCATGAGAATTATCTTGTCACAACTTTTCTCCAAAGTATAATGTAAATCTAACTATTTTAATAATTGGTGGATTATGCAAATTTAAATTTCAGGATGGAACCTGGGTCGGTGAAAGGTCATCAGTTGGTCAACATTACCTGTATATTGTCTTCGCCAAAGGAAAATTGGGAACAAAAATTAGATGGAAAAACCTCAGAAGACCAGAGGGTATGTCAGAAACGGACCACAACAGTTTTGGGTTTTAACCAAACAGGTGTTTGGGAGACACCTCAGTTTTACACAGCATGAAGAAAATGTGAAAGGTCACACTCTTCTGGGGTGGGGTGGGGGTGGGGGACACATGACTGAAGCAAAGGTGTGAGGAACAAATCGCCAAACTGCGTTTCTTGAATTCTTTAAATTGAGCCCTTTAAAGGTTATTGGATCATTATTAATAGTGAAAAATTAATTAAAAAGAAATGTCAACAGGTTTTTATCTTTTTAGTGGTTTTTAATGAGAGTGTGTTGATTTAATGGGATGCCACAGATTCACAATATGAACCAGTTTCAGGCCCGGACATGAAACTAGTGAAAAAATATTGTAATATTGCAATAAAACATGTCAACGGCAGCTTATAATCACTGTTATTAATCGTCCATGACTCCTGGTCTGACATTGGTCGACAGACAACAACATGTCAACGGCAGCTTATAATCACTGCATTAGCAGCTGATAGCGTAGCACAGCAGAATGTATTCTACAAATATATGTATAAATATATATTTGCATATATACAAATATGTATTCTACAGCAATTCTACAAATTGTGTGGTAAGAAACAGTCAATATGTCGACGACACCATCCTTACATCATCACTTTGTCTAATTAGTATTAGTGGAGTCACTTTGTAAAGCCTTCCCTTTTATTCAGGCCAGGTAACACTGAGGTGTCTGCTCACTCATACCCAGGTCCATGACACCGACGTACCGGCCGGTTCTGAGTTTCAAACCCATGGATATGGAGGATGCTCAGGTTGTAGGTTAGAGGTGTCATGTTATATTCAGTACTGTGAGACTGGACTGAACTGGTCGCTCAGTCACCACAGCGACACTGAGGTTATAATAATGCACATTAGTAGGCAGACAGGATACAGACTGATATTCACTGACATGCCAAAGAGGAGAGAGGAGAGAGGGAAGGAAAGAAGGAGGGAGGGAGGGAGGTAGCACTAAGTGAGGGGGGACAATGTGAAGCCAGGTCTTCATGAAGGAGAAATGTGGGGAGGTGGGAGAGTGCATGGTGGGTGAGGGGAGGGGAGTGGGAGGGGGCTAGGATTATGTCTTCATTGTCATGGGAGTCATGCAGCGGTGTGGGTGGGGAGGCTCAGTGCTGGTGATCCACCGACTGTATCCATTCAAACAAACGCTGTGTGAGACACGTCAGGTATAATTAGGTTTCCCTCCCTTCAGATGGCGCTCTGCTTTATTGTCGTTGTAATTGAGGGAACAGGTTGGAATTTCACTCTGTGTTAAATTTAGCAGCAAAGGGATTTTAGAAAAGCTCGTGGCCACAGATGAAGAGGACGATG